AAAAAAAAAAAAAAAAAAAAAAAAAGAACACATAGCACCTCAGTGGGAGTCATGGGGAGAACCTAAGAGTTGATAGGATCCCCATGATTGCTCTTCAGCACTCTATCTATCACAGTCTGGACAACAAGGCTTGTAGAATTAAACCACCACCCCCCCGCCCGGAAGTCAGGCAGGCGCAGTTACAGCAGTTGTTATTTCAGCTCTATCTATGTTGTTCCCAGTGATTGCCCAAGGTCTAGAGATGCTAGTCTACACAGCAGAACAGTGTTAGCAGTGTGAGCACAGCAGGGTGCTGACCATGGTGCGGGCTCGGCTGGCTCACGCTGTAGGGTCTCACTGGCCCACACGAAGCCCTGGAGTGTGGCCCTCTTGGTCCGCTCTGCTATTTGCCTGGTCCCGCTACAACCTCGAGGGGCAATTCGTGTCTCTTAGATCTACACTCTCTTCAGCTACTCTGCTGTGTGCCTGTCCAGCAGCATCCTGGGCCCCTGTGTCTCTTCTGGAAGCAAGCGAGCGTTGATTACTGCCTTCCTGCAGGTCCACACCATTTGCTTGGCCTTTCTAGTTCATCGGCCACTTTTTTGTGCATCAAATAGGGCCTGAGGTTGAGTGATCTGCAACGCTGTATGAGCTGAAGGCTGCAAGGTTAGAAAAATGAGGCACAGCACAGCACAAAACACAGCAGTGGGACCTGTCCTTTGCTGCACTTGCTTTCAGCCTGGCAGGCCCCCCCTTGGGTGGGTCACAGACCGTGGTTGACTGGGGGCTGCTCCAGTTGCCTGATGGGAGAGGGGAGAAAGTGTGAGCGTGAGCGTGGGCTGGGTGAAAGGACAGTCCCACGAGCAGCCTCCTGAACAGGGCAGCAAGATGGGGCACTGAGCCTCACCCTTCACTGCTGAGGGTACAGTGGGCTACGCGGCCTCCCGAGGGCAACGGCTCCTCCCTCAGAACAGCTAGGACACGGGTTCTATTCCATGACAACTCTGCAAAGTGCATTACAGCTCTGTGTGCTGTAAGGAAAAAGCTAAAATATAGAGGCAGGTGCACAGGGGCAGCTCTTGGGCTGCAGGCTGGTTTGTGCTCAGCGAACCATGTCCTGTGGAGAGACGTGGCAAATCACCCATGATGTCCCTTCTGGCAGGGACCGAGACCACGCCCTCCTGGTTCCCCTTTATGCTCCCATTTTTCCTCTGTCCTACCTGGATGACCTGGCTTCTTCCACAGTGTCTTCCTGCATAGTAGGGAGCTTGGACCTGCGCAAGGTGTGTCATTTGTGAATACCACCAGGCTCTTGTCGTGCCTGTGTCCCTCTTATCTGCGAAGCTCCTACCTGGGGATGAGAATGTCATAAACTTCTGCTCTCTTTGGATCTACGAGGGGGAGGCTGGCTGCAGGGAGAGGGGCAGGCTGACTGGCTGGCCGACAACCTAGAGGACTGGGTGATGAAATAGGCCTGACGTGCAACGCAACTGCACCATCGGTGCTCAGAGAACTCATCCCTGGCAGGTGTCCCATGTGTTCTAATTTTTTTTTTTTTGTGGAACAGGGGATTGAACTCAGGCCCTTGCGCTTGCCAGGGAAGCGCTTATTCTATTGAGCCATCTCCCCGACCCTCATGTGTTCTAATTTAAGGCCATTACCAGACACTATGAAAAGAACACGTGGAGTTCCTACAGCCATCTCGGGTCGTGAAAGCGCTTTCTCTGATCATCTGGGTTAATTTCACATCAAGCTGGATTAAAGTCTGCAAACTGAGGGTCTGAGGCTCAGGCAGTAAGTGACCAGCAGGGATCAAACGGACGTACTCAGGTTTTGCATTTCCGACATGGCTCAATTTCATTAGTCTTTGAATTTTAAAAATCATTTATTTATTTACTTGTTACAGTCTCACTAGGCAGCTTGGATTTGTAGTGATCCGCCTGCCTCAGCCTCCCTAGCACTGGGATGACACTGTGCTACCATGCTCAGTTTCAGTGGCCAGTAGGGGAGGCCCGGGGTCCTGGGGCTGGCATGGCATGTGGCACTAGGGATGGGACCCAGGTCCTTGGCTCGCCAGGCAGATGCTTAGGCTGCCAAGATATCACCCCAGGCCCAGCGATTTTATTTTCCTGTCAAAAAACGAGGTTCATTTTTGATGGAATGAATGTAGTCCTGGACAGTTGAGGACTAAACCCTGACATATCTGTGTATGGATCTTACGGGTTTTGAGTCTTCCTGTGTGTGTCATTGACATGACAGTCCTGCTTCCTCATGTGTCACCCTTCATCTTTTCAGGTCACTTGTGTCTAGACCTCTTCTGTGGTCTGTGCTTGATTTACATTCCAGCTGAGAAGTGAGGTGTCAAAGTGTGAAAGTTTGCACCGCCAGATGGGATTCCCTTGCTGCCTCACCAAGAGGGGAGCCTCCCACTTGGGGGCGATATGAACCAGGCCACAGCTGGGCTCTATCGCCAGCAGCTCCTCCATGGTGGGGGGACTGAGGCTGGGCCAATGAGTGGACACAGGACCCACTTCTAATGGAGTCACAGCAACAGCATTTTCGAAATTATTTCCCTCTGCTTTGAAAATTTGAGATTCTTACCAGTGTCAGTGAAAAATGGCATTTCAGTCATGGAATTGATTTCTCCCATAAGTTCCTAACAACCCTAGTGGAAAATGCCAAGCTAACTCAACCAAATTCCAGGTGCACTCGTAAGCAGAGATGGAGCCAGGTCTCTCCTGCCTTGGGAGGCGGCAGTGACCCAGCTCCTCGGATGGTGCGTGACACATCAGTCTCCCGCTGCTCCTTCCACGTAGACCACCTGCACCACTGTGCACCTTTCCCAATCAGCTGCTAAAGGAAATGAAGCGACCTAGCTTTGTATAAGTTACGTTGGTCGCATACTAGCAGAGGAAAACCCTGGAACTCAGGAAGCTTGAGTGTGTTCCCCAGGGAATGGTCCTGCCCGGGCCATCACTGTCCCTGGGTGTAAGTCCACCAAACAGTAGCCCCAGGGTCCAGGGACCTTTGGCTGAGCCCCAGGGTCCAGGGACCTTGAGAATTCCGCCTGGAGGTTGGGTGCAAATGCTTCTGCTCACTGGCACCGGGTTTCAGGCTCCCTCTAACTGCCCACCGGGAACTTGAGCGAGCGGTCAGGCGTTGTCTGTGTACAGTCACTGCAGCCCGGCAGCCCAGCAGCTTTAGTGTAACTGTGGCAAATAAGAAAGGAGAAAGAAGAGCAAAAATAAAGGGGAGAGTTGTTTGCTCACCAGGCATGCTGGGAAGAGCTGACCCCCTCCCTTAGGGTGAGGTGTACCACGTTCTCCTAAAATCCCGAGGACAAGTGACAGCCCCTAATAGCCAATCCTGCCTGAAGAATTGTACATCATCCAGCAAGAAGTGACACAGCAGCACGTCTAAGTTGGTCTCAGGCATCTGCAAATGCTCTTAGATTCTTCTCATCTTCTTGGCTGCTGCTCCAGATTTTAATCTGCTAGATTTTCTCAAAAACTACGAATTCCAGGCTGGTGAGATGGCTCAGTGAGTAGGCTAAAGCACCTACTTAGAACAAGCTTAGCAAAACACAGGGACTGCGATTCAATCCCCCAGCACCATATGCCAGCCAGCCTCGCCCCCTGGTGGGCTGACCTGGCCACACACACACACACACACACACACGAATAAATAAAAAATTAAAAAACAAACAAACGAACAAAAAAACCCCTACGAGTTCCCAAGTTATCTCCCGGCTATGGTATGCCTTTCCTGGAGCAAGTGTATTGGTGTTTTTGCAGTATTCAAAATATTAAAATGGTAGAGATAGCTCAGTGGACTAAGCACCTGCTTAGGCAAGCTCGGGGACCACATGCTGTACTGACCTTGCCCCCTGGTGCCCTGGGGAGGTGGAAAACAGGAGGATCACTATGCATCTGAGCTGCCTCGTGAGACCCTGTACCGAATGCATACAAGCAAAAAAGAAACAAACTATTAAAATGTTATGGGGCTGATCAAGTGTTTTCAATGGAAGCAGAGCCCGCAATGACTGGATTCTTGAGGCCGTGTGTCAGGTATGCATGATTTTATTTAAAATGTGTCCAAGAAGATTTTCCACTTGGAATGAACATTTTCCCTCTTCCCTCATGTTTCTATAAACAGTACTTCCTCATTTCATGGAGTTTCTTAGAAAGTTCTAAGTAACTTAACAGAAGAGAAGAAATGAAACCGTGGGGAGATTAAATAACAGGAGGTTTACACCACAGCCAGGGGGTTCGCATGGCAACCCTGGGGGACACACAAGTGACTACTGAGTGAAGAAACAGGCCCGGTCATGCAAATCGTTGTACGATCACTTGGTATCCTTTGGCAGTTCTGGAATTCCCTGTCACTAGCACATAGAATAAAGTGAGTCAGATGACCGCGGCGAATGGGGAACTGTCTTTTGCTTTTGGTGGCTGAGAGAAGACAGGGAGACAAACACGCTGTGGTCGAGCATTTCCTAAGATCTGACAGGCCCGTACACAGCTCTGAGCTCCGGGGTGCACGTGGCATCGGCGCCCCCAACCGCCCTGGTGACCACCTCATCCTTGTCTCCCATCGAATGGCACTGGTTTCTCTGTGGGCAGCAGCATACCACGAAGTCAGCTGAGAGCACGCGTTTGGACCGAGTGGGCAGTTGTGGTCTTAACTCACTAGGAACCTGCTAAGGTTAAGTTTGTTGTCATGAGCCAAAGTTCGGAGCACAAATGAGGTCTAAAGGTCGTCACAGCAGACCACAGGCCACAGGAAGAAGGACACGTCTTCACATCACGCTGACCTGCCAGGGAGAGGGACGGATGCAGAGCGCAGCACTCGGGCCGGCACCACCCGGTGCTCCTGGGAGGGATGAACGCATCATTTACACGGAAACAGAGCCAGCGAGGGCCGCGGGCTTCGTGCTGGCTCCGTGGAGCTGCTGGCAGGAAAGAAGCCAAGGGCAGGGTGACAGGGCGGGAGGGGGCGGGCGGGCGGGCTGGGGGACGTCACCATCTCCACATCTGTTTTAAAGCGACTCAGAGGTGCGCTCCTTTGCTGATCATGGAAACAGGGGAGGGGCAGCGTCTGCTCTTTCTGCAAACACATCTGTTCATCAGTAACGCGCGTTCACGATGCAGTTCTGGCTGGAGTAGAAAAGGGTGGAAGATGCGCGGCGGTGGGGCGATGTTGGGGTCGAAGTGTGTGGACGGGGCGGCTGGAGCATCCCAGCTCGGACCAACATCAGCCATCCGAGACGGGCGGGGTGACCCAGCCGTATTTTTCGTGAGTCTTCACCAAACTCTTAAAGGTTGCTTCCGCTTCCTTGCGACTGAAGGACTTTTTTGATTTGCCAGCTTTTCTGCAGATCCGCCCCTGCATGAGATGGAGAGAGAAACCGAGTCAGCGTTTAGAAGTTCTCCTGCTCATTGTGTTTATCAGCTACAAGGGGTTGAGA